CACACCCAAAAAAGGGCTTAGACGAGTAGGACCAATCACCGCGCTCGGTCAAAATCTGAACGAATATTCAGACTCCATACACTACATATGTCATGAAGTCCAGACCCAGTGGTAGCTAGCGACAATATAGAGCGGGCAAATACTACTGGGCACCCAGGCTAGGTGTATGGGTAGCTGTTGTGAAAATGTAGTTCAAGTTCAAAAATGGTCCATCTGGATTTTTCCAATGTAACTACAGTGGGCTTTTTGAGCATTTGTCAATTTTATGTATGCAGCTTAAGTTGAAAATCTGCAAATGGATCTTAATGATTATGATATGAATGACCAACACAAAGTAAATTGGGGCTTACCCCAAATTTTCGACTGACTCTGTCAGTCTTGTTCACGGAATGGACCCTGCAGCTTCCGGGACGTGACGTCGGAAACACGTGGTTGCAGCAGCAATTCAAACTTGCGGCATATCTAATTATTACCTTCGCCAAGAAGGTTATGGTTTCGTAGACGTTCATGTGTGTGTCTGTCTGTCTGTCTGTCTGTAAACATGATAACTTGAGAAGGCTTAAATTGATTGATTTCATATTTGGTTGGTGGGTAGGTTTTGATGAGACCTCGAAATGATTAGATTTTGGGCCCCCTAGCGGCTTCTAATGGTACTGCAGCTGAACTTCCGGTTTTGATATCTCGTGATCTGGACGTGCTAGGGTCATGAAATTTGGATGGTAGGTAGGTCTTGTGCTGCGGAAGAAGTGACGTAGGTTTGGGCCCCCTAGCGGCTTGCTCAGGAACTGCAGGGGCATTAATTTTCTTTGAAAATATTCAAAATATTCAGCTTTACAACCTGATCTTGTAAAAGTGACAGACTGGGTCAATGCCAATCGTCTTTCATGAACGTACTGAAAACAAAATGTATGCTATTTGGAACAGCCCGCCGGCTAGCTCTTCTACCTGACACATCTTTGAATCTCGCAATTGGTTCGAAGAAGGTAGAACAGGTAACCGAAGCTGTGTGTAAGGTTGTAATCCAAGCTTTAGTGCTATCAATCTTGAACTACTGTTCACCTATACTAGCTAGTGTTTCAGAGTCATGTACTAAGAAGATACAAGTTATACAGAACAAAGTCTGCAGGCTGGCTCTGAAATGTTCGTTTGATACACCAGTTGCCAAAATGCACTCTGATCTTGGTTGGTTATCGGTGAGAAATAGATTTGATGTCAGTACTCTTAAGTTATTTTTCAAGATTGTAACTACAAGTGAGCCACAGGAGATCTATAAATCTCTGGTACCAGTTCATGCGTCTCACAGGTATTCCACTAGGCAATCTAGGTGACTACTCATTGCTCAAACCCAACAACAATAGTGGAAAGAGGATGTTTGTTTATAGATCTGTAAAGCTGTGGAACGCATTACCGAGTGAAGTTAAGACTACTGTATTAGCAGCTGATGAGAGGCAGTTCAGGAAAACGACACGTCAGCTTTATGGAACTTAAAGGCTTACCCTGACAATATTGTATATATTCGAAGCAATTTAGTAACTCACAAGTTTTATTGTTGATTTTAGTCATAATTAGTTAAATGACCTCTGGCCTTAACCTCAATTATTTTAATGTGTAATTGCAATGATTGTATGTATTCAGTGCTTGTATTTTATGTGTTGTACTGTTAATGAGCCCTGGAAGATTAGCCCCTCATGGGGCTAAAGAGCATCTCAATAAATCAAATCAAATCAAAAGAGGATAAGTCAAGAACCGGTGGACGGATCGTCATGATTTTGGGTATGTAGGTGTAGTATCTCAAGAACCGGTGGACGGATCGTTGTGATTTTTGGTATGTAGGTAGCTTAAGTGACGCTTGACATAATTATGCGACAATTATGCAAATCTGGATGTAATTTGCATAATGAATAAGGAAATTCTATAAATTAACTGCATTACATTATAGGACTATTCAAGCTTTTGACATATGTAATCGAGAACGAGAGAAACATTTTGTAATTTTGTAAATTAACACCTAATTTGCATAGTTAATGAGAAAATGTTATAATTCCATAATGGTAACTGCCTGGAATTTCATACTTGGGGTATTTGAAAGTTAAGTGAAGGTGAACATCATTAAACATAACATATTTAAATAAGGCTCTCATTTGCATAATTTATGAAGAAATGATAGAATGGCTTTCTTTGTTAAGATAATGCTGTGTTTTGATAGAGAATATGATCAACTGATACAATTCATGCAAATGAGGATCCTATTTGCATAATCAGGAGGAATCATCTTTGTCAGATTAACATCAATTGGTTGTAAATGAGAGGAACATTGGCAGATTTTGCCAGAACTCTGGGAACCACGGTAAGAAACAGGAGGAGCAAGTAGAAACAGATAAAAACCCTGGTCCCGGGCCGGGGTTCGAACCCACGACCTCCCGAGCACCAGCTTCAAACTCCGACGCTCTAACCACTTGGCTAAAAGGTCTAGATCCATCGGCCCGGTCAGTTGGTAGCGCCTATAAACCCCCCACTGTTACACTACTCCCCCCACTGTTACAATATCACTTTTGTATATCTTTTGGTCACATACTTCTGCAGGGAGTGATTCCTTGGTTTATTACCTCCATGAAAAATGGATTGTTTTTAGCGTGTCTGTCTGTGTGTCTGTCTCTGTGTGTGTTTGTGTTTCCACAACTTTGTGGTCAGTATAACTTCAGAACGCCTTTATCAATTGTGATGATATTTGGTATGTTGGTAAGTCTTGGAAAGACAAATGTCAAGGTCAAATATTGGCCTCTTTGTGGCAGACCTTGGTACTGCAGCAGAACTTCCGGTTTTTGTATATTTTGCCCTGAACATGCTATGGTCTTGACTTTTTGGTGACAGATAGCTTATCCTGTCAGGAATAAGTGGTATGGGTTTGGTCCCCCTAGCAGCTTGCTCTGGAATTGCAGGGGACTTTCTGGTGAATTCTTTGAAAGCTGTGGACATTGTTTTATATATATTTTTATACATGTAAATTAAATCTATTTAATCTATGGTAGGTACAAAAAAAATGTAAAGCACCAACAGATACTAGTTATGCAAATGATGACCTAATTTGCCTAATTTATGTGAAAATTCTGTGATTCCTTATTCAAGATGGGAATTTTATACCTTGACATGTGTAAGGTACTTAAAGGTTAATATCACTATGCATATATTATGTTAAAATGTACATGTCATTTGCATAATTGATAAGGACAAAAATTCATATATTTCATGGAGGTACATTGTATGAGATCTCCGAATTCTTGTCGGTTTATGAGAAATAATCCCGTTTTTCTCCTGCACACCACGTAATATGTCCTTTTTTTTACACTATGTATTTACACTACTAGCTACATGTAGTCCCATGACCGATACTGGTCATTGAGGGAACAAGGCAGACTTTATGCAGATAAAATATAGTGAATAGTATAATTTACAATTACCCGACAATTAGTCTATTCTGTCTACTTGTACTGCTTCTACATGTGTACATCAGCGTCTAACAGTTTACATGTGCAATGTACAAGGCCACAAGAATTTTACACCTCTTCATATCAAGAGCAGATCTTACTTTGATTGTTCAACCTCAAATCTGCCTGTGTACTTCACACTAATGTTGCATGAAATTGCCTCTTCACATCACACATTTGTCACTTTTGACAGCCACCAGTAACATCTTGATAAACACTGTGTTTTCTTCAGACTGATATAATATCATGTATATTGCAAAGTGTACAGGATGGTGTGGCCAGAGATTTGTTCACTTATATATAATCTTAAAGAAAAGCATTAGTAAATGGCCATTGTACAGCATCTTGTTTGGCTTATTACCTTCGCCAAGAAGGTTATGTTTTCAGTAGCGTTTGTCCGTCTGTCCGTTTGTTTGTGAACAGCATGGCTCGAGAAGCTTAATATGCATTGTCATGAAACTTGGTACTAGGTGGGTAGCATAGCTCTTTATGAGACCTAGAAATGATTAGATTTTGGGCCCCCTAGCGGCTTTTGTTGGTACTGCAGCAGAACTTCCAGTTTTGATACATGTGTATCTCATGATCTGGACATGCTAGTGTCATGAATTGTACCTCCCAAGTGACATCACGGTAAACATGGCAGCTGGTTTGTATGGTATACATGTAGTCCATTAGACCCACATGGCCTTGTCCTGCTGGCATTTTTACACAATATTTTCAAATTTTGATGTCTTAAACAGGATCATAGACCCTTCACTTTTCTTGCCTTGCGGTAGCGTACATTGTATTGCTGCGTTGTGATGCGTTGCACGAGAAATGACCCCAAATCATACATATACAGGGCACTATATAGATGGTTCTGTATGTGCAACCCATATATGTCTATTTCATATATGTGTGTGTGTGTGTGTGTGTGTGTACATGTATGTGGACAACTGCTGAACAGGTGGTCAGTAGCTCTGCTCTGATGATTGCAGATGTATCTGTTATATAGTTCTGTTTATGGTGTACAGCATTGAGTATTCAATAGTCCATACAAGTACAATTCAAGAGGCAAGAAAAAGCGAAGTTCAACATTTTTGCAATTGTATTTATTCATTTATTGTTTGCTTCTCAAAGGAATGGCACCACAAGCAGTGGTACCAGTTTTTGAATTGGCTCCCATGCTTACTGTGATGTCACTGCCAGCAAAAGTACACGAAACTCCCTGCAGAAATCAATAGCTGAATAGAAGGAGGATTTGCACATTTCAATGTTCCCTAACATCAGAATAGTCTATTTTTGTCCAAACCTCATTGTTTGTTAAATAACAAATGCCTATCATGTTGTACTGTTTTCAGGACTTGTAATCTTAAGTCATTTTCATCATCAATGGTTTCATTCCAGTTAAAGTAATAGCCGTTAGAATACACTGTAAGTCAAAGACCCAAAAATATTACAACTGCATGTGTGTATGAGTAAATGGTAGCTTGTTTTCTTTTATATGATATTAAATATTGTTCCTTGTTTTGACAGACCAGCATAGCGTTGGATTTACAAGGCATAAAGTATGACTGTGAGGCCAAAATACATTCTCCAGTATATGCTGAAATGGTAAGTTTCTGATTAGTAACTGTGCTATAGTTCTATATAAACATACTACCATCAGCTTGATTCAACAATGACTGCCTACTGAATATAGAGTTGTCTACACAGAATGACTCACAACTTCTGCAAAAAAGATCTGAACATCTTCAAATAATAGCAAAGCAAACAGCTCAATGACATGCAATTTATTCCCGAAAATGCTATATTATGCAAATAACAATCGAACCCCACATTTACATGTGGTGTTCGTTTGTTTGTTATTGCATAATGTTGTGTTTCCTGTTTCAGTCCTGAAAAACGCATGATAACAGACATGCATATGCCAAACTAGAATGGCTACATACATGAAATAGATATTACCTGCTACTTCAATAGCGACAATGTTCTGAGTACATTACACAGAATTGGCGCTCTTTTATCGGTTCACTTCCTGGTCAGTATGATGCGGTGCACGAGTTTGAAATAACTACCGGGTCATGGACCGCCACACTTTGTTAGGAGGTGTGAAATATGTTTGCCAGAGCACCCAATACCAGGTGTGGTTTTGTCATACAACACAGTCAAACCTGCCCAAGCCGGCCACCCAGGAGACCTAAGAAAAGTGGTCACCTTGGAAAGGTGGTCACCTTGATGAGGGTCGCCTCACAACATGACTGAGAGATAAATGGTTTCCAAGCCGACAGGTTTTAATGTCAAATGCTGTCAGGCCTATATACATGTACGTATCAACATTGCCCCATGGGAATCATGGGAGATGCAGACGACAGGTGTTGATGTTGTTTTTTTCGCGCCGGTTTCCTCCTAAACAAACACTCAGAGACCGAAATCTTTACTGTTTTGTAAATCTTTATGTTGTTATGTATGTGGCAGTTGTGTGACTGCTTCGTATTATAAAAGGACGTCTATTTCTTAGCCATGAGCCGCCACTACCAAGTTACCTTCTCGTTATGATTGGTGAATATGACCAAAATTCTGTTTTTCAACAAAACGATACATGAATAAATATAGAACTATGCTTTGCATGCAAATAACTGCTGTATGCATTGACTATGTTTATTTGCCTTTTTATCTGTATTTTTTGAATTGGCAAAATAAATGGCAACAACTATGGCGTACTTTTGCATAATAAGATTGGTAAAATTTTAGTTGTCCAAAGTTAGGGCATGTCCGATTTTAGGGCACCCCCCGTTAAATTGCTACGTTTTAGGCTGCTTTTTAAAGTTTTCATGTCTTCTCAGGTGACAGCCGCTTTTTGTACATGTTATACATGTTGCATGACGTCTCATCTTCAATTCCGTTTCTGTTTTAGAGTCCAAGTAGAAGCAACTGTTCCACACCAAAAGAGGTTTGTATATTTTGTGCACTGATGACATGCAGGAGGGAACAAAAAGTTCCTCCCTGCATCAGGTGATGCATAGGGCAGTGCCCATCTCCGTTTCAATAGCCCTGGGCCACACAATGCATTCACTACAGCAGGGGTCTAGTCCACTGGTAGTGGTTGTGTGTTCAACTCCCATACTCTTCCCCCAAATGCTGAGTGCTAAGCCGAGAAAGCAGTATGTAAATTACCATTTTTTAAAAGTCTTTGGTATGATTCAGCCAGGGATTGAACTGGTGACCTGAGTGCATGGAAGACAAAAACTCTACCCGCTTCAGCCAGGCCATTGCACCAGTCCAAGTGTTTTATACATTTAGTGTATATCCAGTTGCAAAGAGGAACTTATTGTTGCAAATATCAACTTATTGTTGTAAGAATTTAAGCATTTTGTCACTTTTTTAAAGTGTTAATGTTGTGTCCATAGCCCTTTACCATTTAATATCTTTCAGTAGACACATTTTGTACCATACAATTTGGGAATGGCAACATGGCACTTGGGGGGGGGGGACAAGATTTCACTCTATTTCTTTTCTTTTTAAGCCATTGCACAAATGTATGAGGGACAGAATTACTTACACTCAGAGGATCCCACACAGGTAAGAAAGTACATGTAGCACTGGCATTGTAATGAAATTCAATGACTCAAATGTTTGGGCTTCGTGGGGGGTCCGTATGTCACTGCAGTGTACCTTTTGTGTTTGTGGCTTGTGAGCAAAATAACAAAATATTTAAATAGATGTTCATGATTTTTGGTAGGCAAGCTACCATTGTAGAGGCCAAGGTCAAGTTCGAAAATGGGCCTCGTGGGGGGTCCCTATGTCGCTGCAGTGGACCTTTTGTGTTATATATATAACAATCTTTCCCCACCAAGCTCTGCTTTGATTCAGATGGGGACAGCTGTTCCCAACATCTGGGATCAATTGCTTACAATTGAGGGGCTGTCCTATAACTACTGTGGGAGGAGGAAAGGCTGGACATAGGTCAGGTCATTCCCTAAATTGTAAGGCCAGACCAAGTAATTTCCATGGATGACGTCCACTGGAGACCTTAAATTTATTGCAAAAGCGAGACAAAATACATGAAGGGCAAAAAAAAACTGATTAAGATGCATAGATTTGGAATATACTAACAATGGAAATACAAAGGTTAGGACACAAATTGAATAAAAGAACAAAGTGTAACAACAAATGAAAACAGCAATAAATCTCGCCCTGTCCTGATTCTTTCCTTTCATCACATCTTATTACCTCCATGAAAAATGGAGGTATTGTTTTTGGCGTGTCTGTCTGTGTGTCTGTCTGTCTGTCTGTGTGTCTGTCTGTGTTTCCGCAACTTTGTGGTCATCATAACTTCAGAATGCCTTTATGGATTGTGATGATATTTGGTATGTTGGTAAGTCTTAGGAAGACAAAGGTCAAGGTCAAATATGGGCCTCCTGGTGGATGACCTTGGTACTGCAGCAGAACTTCCGGTTTTTGTATCTTTTGTCCTGAACATGCTATGGTCTTGACTTTTTGGTGGCAGATAGCTTTTCCTGTCAGAAATAAGTGGTGTGGGTTTGGTCCCCCTACCAGCTTGTTCTGGAACTGCAGGGGACTTTCGGGCGAAATCTTGAAAAGCCAATAAGTCCAGATAGGAACAACATATTTTCATCATTTTTGGTAAGTAGGTACATGTAGCTGAGAGAGAGATGTACACGATTATTAAATGCAAATTATGCAAATGAGGACCTTATTTGCATAATTAATGAGGAAATTCTATGATTATATTATAGTACTTTCATACATGTAATATATGTAATCTATTATAATCCCCTGTTGTTGCCTAATTAGTTGATTTACATATATATATATATATATATATTATTGACTTTGGTTGCTATTATTTCAAGTTTCATCTTACTGTATATTCATATTGTTCTGTCACCTGTATTATAGTAGATCAAGTACTATTATTTCGAGTTTTTTTTCCCTGCTGTTATCCTTGTTTTATCTCGATTATATTTTTGGATCCGTGGATTAAAAAAAATATATATATATATGTAATCTACAGCAGATAGAACATCAACAGATACCGATTATGCAAATGATTACCTAATTTGCATAATTATTGCGAAAATTATATGATTTCTTAATGGGGAATGATGGCAATTATGTACCTTGTGACATATGTAGGTTACTTAAATGTTAACAACACTATGCATATATTATGTTAATATAGAGGCAATTTGCATAATTAATGAGGAAGTTTAAATGAGGATGTTTAAGTGAAATATTGCCAAAGGATAGGAGTTTGACACGGAAAATATTGTAAGTTGAGTTTAGAACACCATAAATTAAACTACATTATATCAATTGCCACCTTATTTCCATATTCAATGAAACAAAACATTTACATAAACTCTACATATTTCATGGAGGTCTGAAATCTCAGAATTCTTGTTACATTTTGCGACACTGATCATATTACAGTAAGTAGAATTTTTGGTAACAGTTATTTTTTTCCAGTAACAGTCCAAAATCAAATACATGTAACTTAGGGGGGCCTAAAACGGTGACGGTGCATCTGTAAATCTGTGGCAAACCCTTTCGGGTTGTTCTGTAGAATAAAAAAAGGAAAAAACAAGAGTTCCGAGATCTCATACCTCCATGAAATATGGACTTTATATGTAAATGTAAATTTCTTTTTTAATTATGCATATGACCTCTGCATTAACATGATATATGCATCGTGATGTATGTTAACTTTTGATTAACTTACAAATGTCCCAAGTATGACATTCCCATCATTCACCATTAAGAAATCATATGCTTTTGCATTAATTATGCAAATTAGGTCGTCATTTGCATAATTAGTAATTGTTGATGTTCCGCCTGCCATAGCTTACATACATTACATGTATGAAAGTAGTATAATGTAAAACACTGTAATTATAGAATTCCCTCATTAATTATGCAAATAAAGTCCTCATTTGCATAATTTGCATTTAATTATGTACATCTCTCTATCAGATACCTACACACCAAAAATGATGAAAATATGTTGTTCCTATCTGGACTTATTGGCTTTTAAACATTTCGCCAGAAAGTGCCCTGCAGTTCCAGAACAAGCTGGTAGGGGGACCAAACTCACACCACTTATTCCTGACAGGAAAAGCTATCTGTCACCAAAACTTCAAGACCATAGCATGTTCAGGACAAAAGATACAAAAACCGGAAGTTCTGCTGCAGTACCAAGGTCATCCACCAGGAGGCCCATATTTGACCTTGACCTTTGTCTTCCTAAGACTTACCAACATACCAAATATCATCATAATCCATAAAGGCGTTATGAAGTTATGCTGACCACAAAGTTGCGGAAACACAGACAGACACACAGACAGACACGCCAAAAACAATACCTCCATTTTTCATGGAGGTAACAATACCTCCATTTTCATGGAGGTAATAACACAGGTTGTTTGTTTTCAAACACACAGCCATACAGTGGCACATTTGCCCTGAAATAGGTCACCTATTCCCCTGAGGGAGCGCGCTGCCTCGCTCGGCATAGCCACATCTGTTACCCTGGCTCGCAAGTACAAAGGAGATTCCTCTCAGCCATGCCCTGACTCAACCTTAAACCGGAAGTGCTGCTGCAGTACCAAGGCCATCCACCAGGAGGCCCATATTCGACCTTGACCTTTGTCCTCCTAAGACCTACCAGCATACCAAATATCATCACAATCCATAAAGGCGTTATGGAGTTATGAAGGTACAAATATGCGGAAACACAAACACACACACACACACACACACACACACGCACGCACACAGACGCGCCAAAAACAATACCTCCATTTTCATGGAGGTGAAAAGGAGTACAGAAATTCTTTTGTACTCTAGACCAAATTGATTTCTAGTATTAAAAAACGTTCATTTATCTAGAACAATGTCCCTCTGATGAATGCATGAGATCTCTGACCTCTAGTTATTCTATCTTCTTGGTGGTCACCTTGGACAGGTTTGACTGAAGAATGACTTATAACTCCAATGTCCAGATTGAGATGGGCAGAGCAACATTTTTTTGTTAAAGAGGACACAGGTTTAGCAGGGGTAGATGGTCACCATAAAAAGAGAGGGAACATTAAAAGGGGTGAAGTCTGCCATCCCTGATAGCTTGTTTGTTACTCCGTGAAGGAGGTCAGGACCTCCGGACGGAGTGTTGTGAAGAGCTGATTTTTCGTGTTCGCAGTCAAAACACTGGGTTCTCTTTGTGTAATCGGCACGCAATTTTATACGCCGTCTGCAGGCATGCCCGTGTTGATGCACGAATGTGTATTTTTGCCGTTGCTGCTTTCGCGGTCAATGTAATATTGCAGACGCACCCCTACAATTACGAGGCGAATTGGAATGGTCCAGAAAAACACGTTGTTTGGAATAGCAGTGGGGGGGTGGAACTTCATGCAGATACGGTGAGGTTCCGATAAGTGGTTCCAGATGTTTTTGCCCATGCTTAAGAGATCTCAAGTTTTTTGGAAGATGTTTGCAGCCAAAACACATTCTTCCGTACGTCGCATTTCTGTGTAATTGGGCATGTGGTGTACCATTATGTCCGTGATGATGCACGTCTTTTTATTTTCACCGTAGCAGTTTTGATATTGAAGTAAATGCATATTTTAGAAACATCCCTACTTTTACAATCCTGTGGAATAGGCCGTAGGTTTAGGCAGTTGTCTGGTAGCAGAGGTTCTCCAAGCAGATATCCCGGTTATCTGACCGGCGGTAGTAACACTCGCGGTGCTGGCCGCAACTGTTGGAATTTGGCCTGTTCCAGTCGCGCTTAATAAGTAACAGGCACGGTAAGACGGTGGGGTTGTCTTAGTGACACGACCATGATAGTCCAATCTTTATGTGAATGCAATGATTGTGTGTGTGTAATTAAAATGAACTTCGAACTTGAAGCACAGTATCTTTACACGCCCTGGGAGCAGTAATGGATTTAGGTCTTTTTATGTTTTATGCTTGTGACGCGCCCTCATTGTATTAACCGTTGCCTAATTATAATGTCTGCACAGTAGGTCTGGCGTTGACGCTTGGGATTGTTTTTGTTGAAATATATAAAACTTCACGGAGGATTGTCGCCTATGGCTTCTTGTTCCATTTTACAGTGGGATGCACAGACCCAAGTGGGCAAAGTATGGTACCTATAAATACCTACCACCACAACGATGGCTACACAACATAGAGGTAAGACTGGCTCTACTCACTAAGAACCTTCCATATAGCAGAAGTATGAAAGTATGCATTAGAAACTACATGTATTTCTTTACTATCAATAATACTTAAAAGTAAATACTACACTACAAGTAAATCAGTAATACTTACTAGTATAATCGGACCCCTCAGCAATACTTCTTATGATGATACATTCTGACTTTCAGATGGCATCCTTACATCTGTACTATCTTTTTATGGTCAGCTCTTCAAAGGGTGATTCATTCTACCATAAAAGATCTCAATTCTTAGTCAGTTGAAATTTTAATTACAACTGAATATGGGAAAATATGGTTCATGGTGAACTCTAGCCTAGACTTGCCTTTTCCAGGGTTCCTTTTTACCTGCTGTTGTGTCTTATATTGCAGCATGGTGCTGTCGTTGCTTTGTATGACCCCTGTGCACCTCAGACGCAGGTTGATGTGCTGAAACAGACTGTTAGGAGGTGCCTGAGGAAGCACATCATCACCCCTTATACCAAGCTGACTCACACTTATCCATTTGCCCTGTCTGCCTGGGGATGTACATTGGAGATGGCCCACATTAATGTGACAGAGGTGCAGTATACATGGCAGTTTGTTGTGCTATGTGTTTGGGTTTTGAAAGGAATTAGGTTTTGAGGGAAATTCCTTAGGCATTCATGAATTGTATATTAGTTGTTGAATTTTTAAGAAAAAAAATTTCATAAGGATCCTACTAACAATTAGAATTCCGATGGGGAAAATAATCTATGGCTCAGAATATTTTATAGAAGAACTACTTAATGGTTACAAGTTGCAATCACAAAGTTTGCAATCTTGTTGTATGAGCTTCTGAAAAGTGAGATGCTCTACAGTATCTGATAAACTGCCTCTGATTCAGGTGCAGGGCTGGATTGTGCAACATGCTCTTCAGTCTGGTGAGGAGAGCAGGGAGACCAAAGATGGGCAGTATTCCCACTGGCTCCTTCAGGCTGCTGATGTTGTTTCAGATCTACAGGAGTCTGTTATTTGCCCAGACATTCAAACAACTAGTGCCACTGCAATTACACAACAGACAAACACTACACAGCATACAGAGCTAGCAGATACAGCAGTAGTCCATGTGGGATCTGGCAGTCAGCATTCAGAACCAGATACTAGTACGGCTCTGTCTGTTGGGCCCACAGAAGGTAGTTCTGCAAGATTAACTGGCGACAGAAAACTTCTAGTAACAGATTCCGATTTTATAAAAAACATGGTCATGTCCAAACAAGGGAAACTTTTGACTGCATCAACACCAGCACGGAAACAGTCCTCACTACTCGTGCCACAGATGGCATCCAGCAGAGTCACAGCACAAGAAACAGGTGCATATAGATCATTAACATCAGTAAACTCATACACTGCCAATGTTCCTCATTCTGTTACTGTGCAAAATTCTAGTCCAAAAACTGCAGATCAGACTCAACAAATGTCAACAATGTATCAGACACAAGAACTGCCATCAAATATGATGACACAGAGAACTCCTCATAGACATAGTCACCAAGTCAACCAAAGTGTGATGACAAATGCACTGGAGGGTTTCCATCAGGATCAGGCATACTGGGCATTAGGTAGCCTAGTGTTTCTGCTTGGACTGCTTAGTGGTGCTGTGTATCATACAAAACTCTGGAGGAAGAAGGTACAAGGTGAAATGTTCAAACAAGTGGAAACAGTCAAGGACTGGGAGCAGGCCCCTAAGGAAAAGCTAAGCATACCAGGTAAGTCCTCTGAAGTACAAACTTAAAAAAGGTACTTAGAAACCTTTATGGTAGCTGTGGGGGCTGTTATGAATACACATTGTGAATGTCACACAGCTCCAGACATCAGTATGAGACTGTTTGAGAGTGAAACTGATTCTGGGACAGCAGTGGGGATAGGTGTGTTATTCAGCACTAGTGGCAGAACTGAGTGTGAAAGACATTCAGTACAAAGGACAGCAGTGTTGAGGGGAATGTCATTCAACATAAAGGACAGCAGTATTTATGTGAATGTCTTTTAACACAGTGTTAGAATAAAAGTTAATCAGCACCAGGGACAGCAGTGACATTATGGCACTAATGGACCTATACCACTATTACGTCACAGTTTGTTTACCTGTTCTAAAGAACATTCTAGAACGGTCAGTTAAAGAATAATTTCAAAGTTTTCAAAGTCAGGTATGTCTGATTTTTGCTGCGTCTAGTTGTGTTGACACAGCATTACATGCCGTAATGGGTGATTTAGTTGTGACATGAGACGAAAGTAGTATTGTATTAAAAGCCTTATATTAGGCTAACGCTACATAAACACACACCGCGCTACGCACCCCCGTACAACATAAACGTCGATTGACCGGCATTCATTGCGGTAAACAAACTGTGACGTAATAATGGTATAGGTTCATTAAGAACAGTAGTATCAGTGTGAATGCCAATTAGTGCCAGGGAAAGCAGTGATTTGATGTGTGATGATTGGGGCAGTGTGTGTGTGTTTGAACAAGAGAAACAGTGGATGGATCCTAGGTACTGCAGGAGAACTTCCAGTTTTGACATCTCGTGATCTAGACATGCTGGGGTCATGAATTTTGGGTGGTAGATAGCTCTTGGGCTAGGGAATAAGTGACTTTAGTTTGGGCCCCTAGCAGCTTGTTCTAAAACTGCAGTGCAGTTTGTTTAAAAATCTTTCAGGGAGGATAACTCATGAATCGGCTGACGGATTGTCATGATTTTCAGTACGTAGGTAACTTAAGTGATGATTGACATAATAAGATAATAATTATGCAAATGAGGAGCTAATTTGCACAATTAATGAGGGATTTCTATAAATGTGCTGTATTCCATAATAGGCCTATGGAACACATGTGACATGTAATGGACCTATTACATTATTACAGTCACAGTTTGTTTACCTAGAATGGTCAGTTAAAGAATAAAGATCATTTCAAGTTTTCAAAGTCAGTTTTTTTATTATTTTTGCTGAGTCTAGTTTTGTTGACACAGCATTACATGCCATAATGGGTTATTTAGTTGTGACAGTAGATGAAAGAACATGTAGTATATGCAACGTTAACGCTACACCACCTCACACACCTGTACAATATAAACATCAATTGACCACAAACTGTCCCAACATTCATTGCGGTAAGCAAACTGTGACATAATAATGTAATAGGTCTATTGAGAATGAGAGGTACATGTATACATCATAATATACAGATTATGTAAATGAAGACCTTATTTGTAAAATTGCTGTAATTGCATAGTGGTACAATGTAACTGCCAGGCAGTTCATGCTTGCCACATTTGGAAGTTAAGTGAAGGTGACATCAATAAACATAATTTATTCAAATCATAACCTCATTTGCCTAATGTATGAGGAAGTGCTAGAATAGCCTATTAATAGCTACAATAAGTCTGTCATTGGGGGAATGATTATTAGGCCACACCAATTTAATTTGTTGGTTCTCGGATTCGCCTCTTCGTTTTTTTCTGATTTGCAAAAAAAAAAAATTGATTCTGGTCCTGAATCAACTGAAAAATGCTCATGTTTTGCCCCCAACAGTTGAGGAAAGTTCTTTTCTTCCTAGTTGTTACAGTTTTCCCATATATCATTGCAGTGGTTTGATTAAAAGTTCAAAATTCAATGTTTAAATTTTAACCCAGCCTTTTGTGTTGACTTCATGGCTCATTATGTAGCATTTAAGCCTATAATAGGATGCCTAGGCCTGTTTTTATTTTTATTTTTTTCGTCCCTGTCACTTCTATATTTTTTTCTTGAAAAAATACCGTAGAACCAACAAATTAAATTAGGTGTGGCCTTATGATCAATTGATATAATCCATGATGGAAATGAAATGATCTTATTTTCATAATCAATAAGAAAAATATATAATT